TAAACTGCGGCCGCAATTTCTTATCAGGCGCAACAGAAACAATTATTTGCGTTAAATAAAAAAATAAACTGAATACATTATAACAATGGTAAATTATGGTGTTTCCTACAAAAGATGCTGACTTGCTTCTCAAGTAAACTACTTTAGCTTAGACTCTGAGCGAATTATAACTTTTTATTTCGAGTACTTGATATTGAGCGTAAACATCCTTATGTCAACTCTTTTAATATTTCACTAGTTTATAAAAAGTCTCGTAAAATTTAAAAGTATACAATACTCCAAATCTTTGAGTATAAACTTTTATCAGTATCCCGTAATAAGTGAACTCAAACATCAGTCGGGCAAGTGGTCAATCCGCGTCAGGCCGAGTGAAGCTCATGTAAATGAATCACTCGTTGATTGCCCGCTAAACTGTTGTGACGAACGGCCGTCTATTAGCTCTCACGTCCCGGAATTATGCGGCCAACATGACGTCGATATAACACGCTGTCGGCCCGAACACGCTGTCGACTTAAACACGCCGCCGTCTAACACGCTGCCGGCTGAATTCAACGCGGTCACGCCATCCGTCAACCATGTGAAGTTTATTACGGACGTTTAAGCTGTATTAAATTTACAATCCGCTTTGATGTGGCGATTTGTGAATTGTTCGCTTTGTATTTAACTTGAAGTATAAATTTGACTAATTTATTAAAGACCATTTTCTATTATCGTACGGTACATAAGAAGAATGCAAAGTTTTTGTCACTGTTTACTACTATTATTCTCGTTCTTGATTTTAAGTGTTTTAACTAAACCTTACCCCGTAAAAAAATATCTATTAAATATATAATTGTTTTTTGCTTGCCTCTAACTCTAATTAAATCTAATTGTATTTATTTTATATGTATGTACACGGTCAATTCAATTTATTAAAATAAAGAAAGCTTCTTGTAAAGTGAGAAAGTAAAGTAAATCGTAGTTTGCAAGTTAAAAGTTTGAAATAACATTCTTTTGTGTCGCTTACTGCCATCTAGCGAGCAATAGCGAAAACTTTGAACAAAAGTTTTTTGAATTTCTGTGCACATTATATTTATTTCAATTATTTGGCTTTATTTTACTTGTGATAAAGTAATTTTAATTTATAATTAAATTAATTATAAGAAATATTACAAGTACCTAAATGATATTATAATAGTTGTACATAAGGACATTTTTTTATTTGAAATGAAATAAGCAATAGTAGTGACTAAAACCAATCTTATTATTGAGTGCGATTCGAACAAGAAGGACCTTCATACTTAACGGTGCGCATTCTTTAGCGTGTGAGTGAATATGAAGCTATAAATTTAATGAAATGCTCATTAAGTTCATTCCAATTGCTGCAACAATTCTCATCCAACAAAATTATTTATTGATATATGACAAGCGTAGAGGGAGGCAAAAGTCCGGGCTCCGTCCTCCGTCGGCGGGCAGCCATAAATATCAACCGTCTGAGACATTGTCAACCGGCCACCCTAATTTACGGCTAGTAATTAGGAGTTTGCACTTTGCCAAAACGATTTGCATCGATCGCGTTCGTATAACTTCCAGCAAAAAGCGATTTATAAATCATTTTATCAAAAAAAGTAATGTAATAATAAGAAAATTGTGAGGTTTTTTTTTGGTTACGTTGTTTTGGTCATATAGGCTTTCTTAGAATAACTAAAGTTAAAAGTCTATTTTGAAAGAGGCTTTTACAGTAGCGCCATCTTTGATATACATGTAACATTAAAACAATGCCATAAACCGTGTAGTTCTTTGAAACTCCAATAGAAGGCGTGACTTGTTTTTTTTTATTACTATGTAATGCAAAATTACAGAATTGGTTCTGATTATTGCCTTGATATTTTAGTCATTCAAAAATTTTCGAAGAATCTAATGAAATATTTTAAATCAAATACCTAATTTGAAATGTATGGATGTATGACTATAGTACCTGTGCAAAATTTTGTGAAAAACATCATGTCAATGTCAAATTGATTTGCTTATATTTCAAAAACAAATTGGAGGCAAAAATAAAGTTTTGACTTTTGAAATATAAGTTATTTATTGTATAAGCTTAATAAAATTAATGATAAAGCTATAGAATGGATCCTTATGAAATCGAATTTATAGGTGAAAATAGGATTGTTAATATAATACCAAACTTTTCTCACGATAAAATATTTTTAATTTGCGGCGAGTTTGGACCTTTCCGGGCAGGATTACCAATGAATGTTCCTTTGTGGCTAGGTGTTATGTTGAAACAGAAACAAAAGTGTAGAATAGTTGCACCAGATTGGATGGATATTGAAGTTTTGGAGAACATTAAAGAAGAAGAAAAGAAATCGAGGTACTTTTAATTTAGAAACTTATAACAGTTATTTTGATGTCGTAGAAATCATGTTAAACTGTATCAATGATTATTATGCCCATTGTAAATAAATATGACTAAACTAGTTTTAACTTTAGATTTAATTAATTTTATTGTAGTCTGCTTATAATTTCTAAAAATAAATTTAATTGTGTTTAAAGTCCACCAACCCACACTGGGCCCGCATGGTTGTCTAAGGCATAGTAACCCCTAAATAAGGGTAGGCTCAAGATACATAAATACTTAAGCGACAATATTAAGTAGTGTGGTTTATAATTTTCAGGTTTTTCACAAAGATGCCAAATGAACACTATATGGTAGAAGCTAAACTGATATTGGGGACTGCTGCGGAAGATATACCAAGAGCTTCAGAAATTAAAACAATAATAAAAGATATCTGGGACATAAGGATGTCTAAATTAAGGACTTCAATGGATGCTCTAATGAAAACCGGAGGCAGTTACGGTAGACTTGATCATTTGACAATGATGGAGATTAATTCAGTTAAGCCATTGCTTCCGCAAGCAATGGATGAATTGCACAGGATAAAAATGGTATTTATTGTTCTGAACCCAAACATTTTTATTTATCCACCAGTGCACGAAATATGTTTTTAATTTCAAGCTGATTTTACTTTCTCTTTCAAGCATTCATGCATTATGTGCACTCCAATCCATTTGTCTTTTTACTTAACTATTTCTGAAGTTGAGTTGAAGAAGTATAGTTTGAAATTTTTTTGATATTTTTTCCGGTAGCGAGTTACCTGAGATTTAAACAATAATATCTAATTTAATTAAATTATCTTCTGAATATTATTTTTTGAATATTAAGCATCTTACATAATATAATTTAGAATTTATCATTTTAATTTACAGAATGCAAGAAAGACAATGCCAGTACAGTCCAGTCTCAACTCCGCAGTCAGTCAGCCGGGAGGCTCACAAAGTATATTGTAATAAGTTATATAAATGTAGAGTATTTTGTATATAAGATGTATTTTTGTATTATAGGTAAGAATTTGAACAGTAAATATATACTCATTTCTCATTTTTCTCGAAATAAATTAAAATAGCAAGGTTTTTTATAGAATATTTATTATTGAACAGGAACTGTAATGGTTAGGTACTGATGATAGTGCCATGGACTAATTTTCGTGGCAGTCTATATAAATTCAAAGAACTTCCTATTCAACTTGTGAAATTAAATATTTTTCATGAGAATCATCTTCATAGTAGTGGAATGGGCAATGATTTCAACAAAACTACTTTGTGTAAGTTTACGGATCACTCAAAACAAACCACTAAAGAACCCCACCATCTCTTTTATATTATTAGTGATCTCCGGAAGCAATCTTGGCAAGCCGAGATACCTGACCCTGTGGGTACTGCTGGTCATTGTTGTATGTTGAAGATATAATGGGATTTAGAATAAAAGATAAATGAATTTAAAGAAAAAAATATATTTTTCCATCTTAATTTTCTTAATCATCTTTGTTTCTTACAAACTAAAATACAAGTCTAATTATATTATCTTAGTCTATGATATTAGTCTTATATCTGTTACAGACAAGGTACTAAAATAAACATATACTTAGTTACATCTATAAATTCATATTGCTATATTAACTGCTATCGTTATAACGGCGGTTTATAAAAATAACTACGAGAACATCACTACTGTTAACTGTTATTCGAGTTAACTTAATATTACAAATAGTAAAATAATTTAGTCACGTTTTTGATCTGGTATTCGCTTGTTTAATTTTTAAATGTACAGTCACAAAGTAAACTTAAAAATCAGGCATTTTTAAAATACGAATATACATCTATATGTGGGGTAGAAATTTGTTAGATATTTTGGGTATAAAAATATGTCATCTATTTCGTTGTATTTGAAAAAACAGAGATGTAGCTCTGCTTTTGGCATTTTTGGTGACAAATAAATGATTAAAAAGAATTATGTATGTGACTGTACATAATCAGATTTGAGCTTACAATAATGTTTTAATCTGGAATGTAAACATTACTTTTGAGATTAAATACAAGCGTTTTTAGAGATCCTAATCATTTTAAATTTTTTTAACACACAAAAACGTAATACAAAGAAATATACAGATGGTTATTTACAAAGTGCAAATGTTCTTAAACATTCAAATATTGTGCGATTTGAAGTTCACAAACTAGTAAGAAAATTAAGGAGCATATAATTAGTAATTAACACTATTAATCGTGGGTTTCTGAGACCGAAATCCCCATTTAAAAAATATGACTTCTGTTTTATCAAAGATAATGACAGTGACGACGATATGCTTTATGCAGATTTCGGTCTCGGAAACTTATTGTAAATGACTATTTTTCGTTGTTCAGACAAAATAACAATATGTCAATAATTAAAATTTTTCTTATCTTCACTGATAAAATTAAATATGAATTTAAAAATATATCAAACATTAATTTTAGGTCAGTGAAATTAACAGCACCAAAAAGTCGAAAAAAACTTGCAAATAATCTATTATTTACATTTTTTTTAAATTTTAGGTGCTTTATTTAAATGGCAATGATTATGAAATAAATTGAGTAGCCAATGTTATTTTTAGTAAAATAAATCAATTTTGTCTTTGTTTTATTTAACCCAAAATTTTTGACATACAATTAATTTTCTCATTTTAAATAATATAATATTTACATAAGAAAATTATGAGTAGACATTGAATGTAAATACTTAAAACATATATATTTACAGATATATCAACAGTCAGCTTTAGCCGTGTTTTTTTCTTTAATTCGATAACTTTACTAAGATTTGCAAAGTATTTGCTTCAATGTAAAGTTACCGTAAAACTTTGGTCTAATTCCAGCTTCGTAACACACAGAAAATCAGACATTCTTATTTCAAAGTAACATCTTTTATATTTACATAACATACTTTGATAATTTGTCTTTATGTACAATTGGAAATATTTAGATATAAATTAATGTAAATAAGAAATATATACAAAGATATGCCGATATAACATAACCAAACGTGTCTCAAAGTTTTAGTCCAAGCATTTTTCAAATCGCCTTTATTTTGAAGGCCAACAAAAATGCTTTTGAACTTTTTTTTTTAGAATAACACACAGTTTTTGCAGTATCCTATAAAAATGTGTGTATTTAATACGGATTTCACAAAATAACTTATAAAAATATGGCACATTAGTGTATTATTTTAGGTGTTACATGTTTAAAACTGGTTTATTGTAATCTTTCAAAAATTTGATTAGTGTATTAGTCAAAAAAAACAAAATGTTCTATTATTAAAACTCAAAAGAAAAAAAATTGTAATTATTAATGGGTTATTCTCAAATAAAATCAAACAAAACTACAAATGGTCAGTACTTTGAAACATCGGTCGGTATGTGGGCGAGGGCACGAGGGCACGAGGGCAGTGAAATTCAAGAGATCTTCAGTGAAAGGATAACAATTGCGTACTCGCTCTTACATTTACTATATACAGAGAAATCGGAGAGTTCCGGAAAGCAAGACCCTTACATCTTAATCTATGACTTTTAAATTATCTAACACTAAATAACGATGACTACTAGAGTTACAATGTAAACTTAAACTGCTACTATTTTGCTGGGGTCCACTTTGACCCTCAGGAACATGACGTCATCCTTGACGAAGTTCCTCTTCTTGAGCATTTCATGCGAGACGAACCTCGGGAAGCCGAATCCGAGGGCGTCGGGTTCCTTGGAGGGGCGCTGGAAGTTCTTCCAGGTGGGGTCGGGCACGAAGCTCTCGACGATGTTGCAGGCGCGGTCGGGGCTGGCGCTCTGGTCGAACAGCGTGAAGGAGACGGAGTGCGCGAATGGCCAGCGCAGCAGCGCGTCGTACTCGCCCGGCAGGATCTTTATGTACACCGACATGTGCGTCGCCTCGCCCGCGCCGTTGCCGTTCAGGAACAGAGACGCCTGGAACAAAACATTTTATTATAGCATACGCCCTTAACCACTAAGTAACGACTATCAAGTATTTAGAAACAAATATCGTTCATTTGTATATTATATCTAATCTAAAAGCAATGAAAAAACCTTTAGTTTGATTTCGATTAAAATAAATCGATTACGATTAACATGTCAATAATACCAGTCGAACTTTATAAATCTTTCACTATTTCATCAATATAAACATCGTACGTAACTAACGTAAGTAAATTAAATTTAATTTAGGAAATACAAACAGCGTATGCGTTGACAAGTTCATTTAGTGAGTAAGCGTAGCTAAATCTGTCCGCGCGCGCTGACTAACGCGACACAATCTGCTTGCATCTCTTTGTTTACTCACAAATACATGTGTTATAACTTGGTCCCTTTGGTAACATATATAATGTGGATTTTAAAAGGTAACACCATCAATTGTTTTTAAGGCAACTAATCTTTTAGTTTTATTATGTATTAAAATTCCTTAACTTTTAGTCTACCGTCCGTAATCTTTTTAAGTCTAGCGGGGCTGCATCGTCTAAACGCGGGAAGGACCTTTAGCCTCCTTTTTGGTGAAGCAACGTACCTGTAACTTGTACCCGTACTGGCTGGTATAGAAAGCGGGTGACAGCAGCTCGACGCCATCTTTGGTTTTAGCGTCGGCCATCTTGGCGGCGAAGTCTGAGACGCGCCAGACGAGCGCGCCGGAGCAGTTGACGGCGAGGCGCGCCACCGCCGCCCGCAGCGCGTCCAGCTGGCGCGCCTGCCGCCCCGCCACTGCCGCCAGCAGCGCCACGTGCTGCTGGCAGCTCTCCTCCGTGTGCCGCTCCACCGCCGCACGCGTGCCCTGCAAGTCGGAACACTAACTTACAAATGTGTCCAGTCTAACACAAGATTATAATACTTTTTCGATAGATGTCTTCCCAGCTTCGCAATAAAATGGTAATTACTGTGCCAATGGTGTTTTCTTGTATAATTATAAATAATCACCTTATATCTGCATCCCGCGTCGCGGTAGGGGCAGGGCTGTGCGGCGGCGCAGTGGTCGCGCAGATGGACGTCGAGCTCGTCGCGTGCCGGCAGCGCTGCGCAGCCCGCACTCCGCTGCGGACACGGTACTGGCGCGCGGCTGCACGTCGCCCCGTGCGCAGACACGCAGTCCTGCAACAACACATACAATATTACAAATTGTAAATACACTACATTCACACTGAACATGGTTGAACTTTACTAGATATGAAATTGTGGCGCATTGTAGGTTGCAAAACTAATTACACCTTTAGTGAATTTCAGCTGCCTAGTTTATTTCCTTATAAAATCGTTATGCGAGCGCTAAGATATTGTTAAAATATTTTCTGGTTCCTTTTCCTTGCCCTTTCTTGAAAGTAAGGAAATTATAATTTAATTCGTAACTCAAAGTGAGGGACGAAAGTAGCAGAACATAGTATGATTTATACACGGCAATAACTGTATCCGGCCAACATAAACACCGATCTTTTCCTGCCGTACAAATTCATTATATAAACAACTGAATCGTTTCAAAATAAAATAAAATTTTCAATTCTAGTCATAAAATGATTAACAGAATATCCTTCAGTATAATCCATTGGCTTATTTGATCTAGATCTTCTAAATGCAGCAGGGATTACAATTCTAATAGTTAGCAGATAGTGTTAGTATTTACCTGCGTGTACTTCTGTCCGCAGTGCGGGCAGGGCACGAGACGCTTGCTGCAATGTAGCTGCGCGTGCTGCAGCGTGTGACGACGCTGCACCTTCGCGCCGCACTTGTTCTCGCAGTAAACAGGCTCATGACCGCAATTACCCTGGTGCTCCTGCAATTTGAAAATAAAATTTAAATAAAGTACTCGGACAAAATAGTAATGTAGCGCAGTTGTTTATGCAGTACGCAAGCTAACCTCGAGCGCGCTGCCAGAGAACTCCTTGTTGCAGTGCTGGCAATGTGCACGGCGGCGTGGGCAGGTGTAACGCAGGTGGTCTTGCATGAGTACGCGAGGGATCATGGCGCCGCACTGCGCCGCGCACAGCACCGCATCGTGCTTGCACGTGTTCAGATGCGCCTGTAACACAACACACCTTTTAATATACAGTCAAATACATTTATTTCCTACCCATTTCGATGAAATGTTAGATAATGCAATTAGATGGATTTGTCATAAAATAGATGCGTGTTAAATTATAGCTCTTATTACGGTGAACTGAAACTACGGTCTTTTTTTACGCATATGTTACATAAAAGCGTAATTTCGTGATAAATACGATCCTAACAATTAATAAACAGTTTACAGGAAACGTTATCAATACGCATCAACTGACTCATTGAATCGCAAGTAGTGTCATATCACCGAAATTTTATACGACGTTTCTCAAAAAGTACTAAAATCCCGAAAGGTTACGATGGATCAGAGTTAACACAGCTTCAATGTTATTTCTAACTTATTTTAGTGCATGTTTCTTGTAGCAGTATTGCTCTAATTTAAAATGCGTTATAACGAACTTTAACGTGACGCAATGGCGTTAAAGCCAATAACTATAAAACGTTTATTGCTGTCATAAATAAACAGTAAACGGTGGTCAACTAAGTGGTGAGAAAGCATCTTTATTCCTACCTAAATCTATTTTCACATCAAATAAATTTTAAGTTTACTTATACAAGTTATATTTTGTGTACGAAACTAATAAAACTTTAAATTGAAATTGAAAATGTAACAGAAAAATAGTTGTCAATCAGAGTACACGTGTGATATCCAAAAATAATACAGATAAAATAATGTGACAGATTATTATGTAGTCGTAGTAGACATAATGATTGATAGCTCGGCCTCTTTTCGAGGTATACAACTTTATCTAGTCGAATATAAAATATTCTCAATAATAACTCACCTTCAATTTGCGTAGTTCGTCCGACCACTGGCATCCTTCCTTATGGTGGATGCAGTACACCACTGACCCCATTATTGCCTTCTCAGACTCAGGGTCGGGATATATCTGTAACAAATTAAATTACAATAAAATAAAATGCACAAATAACACTAACACAGTTTTATAATCACAATAAACACCTTCTTCTTAATCTTATTAAGGATATATTTAAACATTTTGCTGAATAAATTGTGAGAGTGAAAACACGAACGTCAAAAGCAACGGTTGCCGCTAAGACTGATGGAAGCGCTGGGCACACATAACGGATTAAATAGGACAACGCGATCAAAAATAAACCACATCTCAAAAAGAGAATATCAAACAAGCGTAAGCCGTACGCACCGTGCGCTCGAAAATGGAACACATCGTACAAATATGCAAAATGGCCGCCCGGTTTTCGCGGGCAATAAATCGGACAGAAGCGTTCGCGCCAAGGGCCCGATACTAAATGAAAACGTTCCCGTTTGTTCATTTTCGTTATCTTTATGGGTGCAACGAACAGATGGCTCGCAACAAGCACGGACCACCGCTCCCTTGTGTGGCAAGATAAGCGTGATTTTTCACTTCCCAAACCAGCTGCGTAATAGAACGAGCAAATAGCTTTGTTAGATTCCTTCTCTTGCGGTATTTTCACACCGACAAGCTAATTTTTCTCTGAATTCATGTCAAAATGCAATAAAGTTTATCCAATGTATTGTGCATTAGAGCAAATAATTTAGTAATAAGTATACTAACACATAGCAAATGTTGTTTGTAAACATTGTTATACAAAATGCATGGCATATAAAACACATTTAAAAAGACACAAAGATGTCAAAGCCAACTCAAACACCTTACAATGAAAAAGTTGTAGAAACGATAAAACAGATTATTACACATTCATCGAAAAGTTTTCGGGTTGAGCTAAAACATTTTGTAAAGACGGAGCAGCGATGTATTAGGAACTATGTTATACGAGTGACATCAAAGAGGTTTAGTGGTATTCAGCGTTCTATTTACAAACATTGATGCATGTGGTCATCGGCATGGCTGCCGCATAACCGTACCACCACCTTAAGATCTATATTGTAAAATGCGAGACAAAGCACCTTATTTCTGCTGCAATAATTTACGAAAATCAATCTTATCTTTATTTGATAAAGTCTGAATTCGTTCGGAAATTCTACAACCGATAGGTACACTTAAGCGGGCGTGTAAAATTACAAATATAGAATGTTATTTGTGTCGTATTCTAAAAAGATGAACCGCGATGTGTTGAACTCTCCCGCATCGCTCAATTATAGAACCCAATGTATCGTAAACATAGCGGACTGGAAGCGTCACAGGTTCCTAAACGAAACTGTCACTTACGCCGTTGCGAAACATCAACCTACTGGATATTTACAATACATTTGAGGAATATTATGATGAACTGATCATTTTACAATCGCTGCTATCAATGATTAAAGTAATTTAAGCATAACTTAAAAGGCTAATCGTTGAGTTCCGAGACCAAAATCCCGGTAAAAACAATGTGATATTTGGGTTGTCAAAGATAATGAGAATAACGAAGATATGTACACTATGTACGGATATTTTAGTCCCGAGAACCAACGATTAATCACACAACATATACTTAACTACTTAATGATTACTTTACGTTTTTTAAATTAAATTTCTTAACTACGCATATATTATGACTTATTAAGATGGCTGAATTAATTTGCCACTAATTAGCACGTTTGATTTCCTTATAGGACAGTTATAACTATTAAATCAAAAGGAATTCGAAGTGTTGCCATATCGAATATTCAAATGATTACTATTAAAATTATATTCGAAAATAAAAAGCACTTTAACGTTGTCCATATAAATTTAAAAACATTAACTATTATGAATTGATCGAAGGTTAGTATGTCTGGAAGGCGTGGGTGACATGTCGAAAATTTAGTTATAGGCTCCTGTGGGCGGAGGAGTTGCCTTGTAATTAGACAACGTTTTATACCATATACGATCACGAACCGGTCTCTTGGACCACAAGCGAGATGACCATTTCACAATAAATTCCGAACGAGCAAGGATTAAGGTGTGTCAATAAAAAGGGTAATTAGAATACAGTTAATCTTTGATAATTTGGTCGTACAAAAAATAAATCAAATTGTCTCTGACGTTTGATCTTTGATTTGGTAATTTTAAATGTCAATAGATGGCGCTTATTGCAAAGACGTACAATAAAAATTCAGCACTAATACAAAACGTACTAAAGTGACTACAGTTTAGTATTAATTTTGTAAGCTGGCATTTTAAACAAAGTGTGAATATAGTTTACCGCAGGGAGCGCAAATAAAACAAACACTTTGATATATGAAACACTGGAACGAGTCACACGTGTTCTCGATGATTCCAATTTCGTTGCACAGAGCTGGTAAATGTTCGCCAAAATGTTATTTAGTTCCTCACAATTGTTCCCATCAATAGTTACGGAACAAACATGTTGATATTTGTTTGATATTTTACTTATATATTTTACCGAGATTGTTTTTTTAGCAGCTTTCTTTGGAACAATCAAATAGAATACTTATGTATAATAAATACCTGTGTTGACACCGTAAAACTAATACCGTAAACTAAATATTTAAAACAATTTTACATCTAAAACATTATTACCTACCTACTTATTTATTCGCGGTTTATCAAGTTCTAGTTTTACGACTCCTCTTTATAAAACATTTCGTAATCGTAACATACAAAATTTGCAAACCTTTGTAAAACTAAAACAGGATGTGTTTACGTAATTGGGACGAAACGCAATAACAATCCGCCATTTTGTGGCGCGAACATTGTTGTGACAATTGTGCCCTAATTTAGGAATTGGCGGGAAATATTTAGCAGACAATTTATAGCAGTAATTAGCAATAACAGTAAATTATTTAGGTCTTAAAATCCAATTGAATATAACAGATAATTTGAGATAACTTGACCTCATTATTACATAATATGTATTAATAAAAGTAATTTATTTGCCTACATTGTTACAACTATATAAAAAAAGACAATTTTGAAGTTTTTTCCAGCACAACACTATGTTTTGATTGTAATTTATTTATATCTATGGTTTAAACTTTGACAAATTTACACTTTCTGTTTTCGTTCTGGTAACACCGGTTGATTGACGCGTGTCGACCCTCCGGCTTTGACATTGACATGTTAGTCTCTTTAGGGTTAAGGGTTTAAAGTTTAAAATGGTGTAAAATAACTTTTTGAAGCGATTAGAAACTGGAGTACCTGTCAAGCTATCGGCAGGCGATGTCGTGGGAACGTAAACACTACGTCACTGCGTCTACATAAACACTTCTAAGTTTCGATTTTAAAACTGTTGAATGATATGACAAGACTGTCTTATGCTAGCTAAGACTTGCAACTAAATGTCCCTGTTTTGTGTCGAGAAAAGAAATGGTTTTCTGGGTATTAATTAGCTAATTAGATCCAACGAAATTTAACTCTAATGGATAATCGAATATTTGTTGTGTTTGTGCTAGTATTTAGAGAAATATGTTGGCACAATGTATGCGTAATATATTGTGAATTTAATACATATTTTTCTGCAAATACTACAATTAAATACATGGCAACATTCACAGTAAAACGTCTTGAAGGAGAAAGAATCGGCAAGTTTGTTGAGGACGGAAGCGGGTTCGATGTCCGTGCGGCACTCACCGGCATAATGATTACTATTGTAATTACCACCGTGTTAGTGTGCTACGTCCAGCCACGCCTAGCACAACAATGTCCATTTTGAATTATTCAACGTTTCTACAGATGTTGAAATTAGGTGCTAACGTCTGTATATTTTGGTGAAATAATGGCGACAATGATGTAATAAGAAATCTATGTGGACTCACTATATTCGTAAGGTAATGCTGCTTAGTGTGAATCTTGACAATAAAATTTTTGACATAGTGCAACTGGACGAACCATGTATTATAGAAATGCTGCCAGCATTATGACGCCCTGGTATTTTATTTAACTTCATCAAAAATAGGGGAGAATAACCTAATTGTAATGATAGATGATAGACAATAAAGTTCGTTTACTTCTCTCTCTGTTTACGTTGACGTCAAACTGATTGTTTACTGATCGATCAGCAATCGTTAAACAGAAATTATAGACAGTGATAACTGGCAGTTTATAATTTGATTTAAGGTCATAAACACATTAAGAATAAAAACCGTCAAGATTAATATTGCACTGGAAATCATTTTTAAATTAAGAATTGTTTTTTTTTTTTCGAACGCACTACGAATAAAAGTTGCTTTTGAAAATAGAACGCTTAATTTGAAAGCGTTCGGAACATGATATCAATTAGGTTGTCTGTCATCGCGGCATGGACGTGTCGTTTTACATTTTAATTCTATTTCTGTGAACCATCTCACAATAAATAAAACCTAAAAATTTAAAAAAATGTAAGAAAAATAGGAACAATCCTATTATTTGTGTGATATAAATTAAATCAATGTATAAAGTAATAAACAGCTTTTGTAATATTTACTTATTTTATTTAATCGATTTACAAGTTATATTACATTTCATAAAGTTTACTTAAATTGCATCAGCAAATTGTAAAAACTCTGACGAATTTTAATGAGAAAACCGTAGAAGGCCAAATCGGTAAACTGAAGAGAGGAAGAATAAAAAAAAACGTTCCAGTCCAAACACGTCGATATAATTAAGCCTAAAAACTCAGCCAATTCGACACGGTTCCCTGAGCCTTTAACGATACTAAATTGCTTTAATCCAAATACCTCGGATGTATTCAAGTGTGTTAGAATATCTATAAACCCTTAGGTGATAGAATAGAAAACGAAGATTGTTTTTCTATTGTATTTTGACACGTCTTGAGGATCGGTAGCATCATGACGAAATCCACTGATTTAAAGAATGACGATAAATGAGGATTTTGAATGCCATCATTTGTATTGTATACACAAAGTCTAAAAACATCAGCAGTAATTCGAATTCTGTTGGCGTATAGAAGTAAAATATTAAAGCTTTGTGTTGTAATTCCATTTCTGGTTTTGTACTATACT